TGCAATCGCCTTTCCTCTTCCGGCCTCTTGCAGGGTCCTGTAGCCACAGAAGGGACCAAGTCACCGTCTGCTCCCCCCATGGGGGCTGCGCCTCCCCCCCCGGGTCCTCCTCCACCTCCTGCTCCTGCCCCCAGCAGCTCCAGTGCTGACGATGCTGCCTCCCGCTCCGCGCTGTTCGCCCAGATCAACCGGGGCGAAGGCATCACCTCTGGTAGGCGAAGCAGGGACCCAGGGAGGGCATCCAGGAGCCAGGGTGCCTGTGCTGGGAGGCCTTGTTTTGCTGCTCTCCCTCAATACACCTCAAAACCAGGGGCCGTCTGCTCAGAGCAGAGGCTGGGAGCCCCTGAAGCAGCTCACAGGGACAGAGGGAGCACATCTGGGATCTCTCAGCCTCATCTGTCACATGTGGCAAGAGGTTAACCCCTGGCTGGAATGGAAAGAGTTTCCTGCATGCTGCCAGTAGAGAAGGTGCAGTCCTGCACCGATTCACATCAGCACAGAGCTCGTTCCCTGCTTGTGGTAGCTGCTCAGTGTATGGGGACAGTCAGAAACTGCAGTGAGTTGCCTGGCAGACATGGAAGAGCTGGTGCCTCCTGTTGTGTTCTCAATATTGCAGCACTTTTCTTGCTCCCTCTTTCACTGCTGCCACTTGTGCTTGGCCTCAGTTTAGGCCCAGCCTCAGTAATCATAGAATCACAGAATGGTTTGGCTTGGAAAGGACCTCAAGATCATCCAGTTCCATTTGCATTCTGACAATGGAATTGTGGGGATTGCTGTAATCACCCATGTCTGGTGTGTGTGAAACTGCACCCTTGGTTGGAGGAGACCGGGCCTCAGGTGTGACTTCTCTTGCAGGCTTAAGACACGTTTCAGATGACATGAAAACCCACAAGAATCCAGCCCTGAAGAACCAAGGGGGTCCTGTGAGAAGTGGACCCAAACCTTTCACTGCTCCCAAACCAGCCTGTAATGCTAATCCCGCCCCCAAAACCTCTCCAAAGGCACCTGCATTGCTAGAATTAGAGGGCAAAAAGTGGAGAGTGGTGAGTGCATGAGCAGATGGGAGGGATGGGAGCTGTGCAGCAGGGGAGGAGGAGGCTCTCCTGCGGGGCCTGCACTGCCCTGCTCTTCACAGTGTGAATACAGTGTGCTTCCCTGCCTCTTCAGGAAAACCAGGAGAATGCCACTAACCTGGTAATCAGTGACACAGAGCTGAAGCAGGTAGCGTACGTTTTCAAGTGCACAAACAGCACGCTCCAAATCAAAGGCAAGATCAACTCCATCACCCTCGGTAAGTGGAGAAGGCCCGAGAGGAGCTGCTGCTGCGAGCTGCTCTGAGCCTCCATAACCTTCTTGGGGCTCCCTCTGTGTTGTCTTTGCAGATAACTGTAAGAAGCTAGGGCTGGTCTTTGATGACGTGGTGGGCATCGTAGAGATCATAAACAGCAGGGACATCAAAGTTCAGGTGAGTGCCTGCGACCTGTTCTCTGCAGTGTGAGCCTTGCGCTGTCAAACTGGTACCTGTAGCATCTGCCTCCTTGAGTAGCTTTATTTCCAGAGCAGGAACCTTGTGGTGCTTGCCCAGCCCTTAGGAAAGGGTTGAAATGTGCCTCACTGAGCTGCTCCAGGGCTCTGGTTAGAGTCTGTGTGAGGAGGGCAGCGCAGGAGGGCTGCCAAAGCAGGAGGCCAGCAGGAGAGGCTGTTCTGATCCTGGTTTTGGTGTCTGATTTGGGATGTGCTCAGTGTTCCCTGTAGTTTGTTCTGAAGAGACCAAACCAAGAAGTAACTCGGAGGTGTATGCAGAGTTCACAGTACCACAGTATCACAGTATGTTAGAGATTGGAAGGGACCTCAAAAGCTCATCCAGTCCAATCCCCCTGCCGGAGCAGGAACACCTAGATAAGGTTACACAGGAACGTGTCCAGGCGGGTTTGGAATGTCTCCAGAGAAGGAGACTCCACAACCTCCCTGGGCAGCCTGGTCCAGTGTTCCGTCACCCTCACTGAGAAGAAGTTTCTTCTCAAGCTTAAGTGGAACCTCTTGTGTTCCAGTTTGTACCCATTGCCCCTTGTCCTTTCATTGTTTGCCACTGAGAAGAGCCTGGCTCCATCCTCGTGACACTCCCCCTTTATATATTTATATACACTAATAAGGTCACCCCTCAATCTCCTCTTCTCCAAACTATAGAGACCCAGCTCCCTCAGTCTTTCCTCATAAGGGAGATGCTCCACTCCCTTCATCATCTCAGTTGCCCTGCGCTGGACTCTCTCCAGCAGGTCCCTGTCCTTCTTGAACTGAGGGGCCCAGAACTGGACACAATATTCCAGATGAGGTCTCACCAGGGCTGAGTAGAGGGGAAGGAGGACCTCTCTCGACCTACTAACCACCCCCCTTCTAATACACCCCAGGATGCCATTGGCCTGAGTTGGGCTGAAGCCTCTTGCCTTGAAGGCATTGTAGTCACCTGGGTGCAGGTACCGCTCCTCTAACTGCTGCTTTGACCACCCGCAGGTAATGGGTAAAGTGCCAACGATTTCCATCAACAAGACAGACGGCTGCCACGTGTACCTGAGCAAGAGCTCCCTAGACTGCGAGATCGTCAGTGCCAAGTCATCCGAGATGAACGTCCTTATTCCCACCGAGGCTGGGGACTTTGTAAGTGTGGGGATGGAGGTGGCCCCGCGGGCCTGGGCTCACCCAGGGCAGGATGAGTGCTCTGAGCCCCCTTTGAGACCTTACAGTGAGGTCTGGAAGGACAGTTCCAGGCTCTAGACTGTGGAGGTTGTGGATCTGATGTTAAAAGCAGCAAATCAAATGGGTTGCTCTTTATAGCAAGATACTTGCTGTTAGTGGGAGCTGCTGCTTCCTCAGCATCTCCTTGGGGCAGAACAGGCAGCGTTTGTGCTGCAGGAGAGGGGACAGCGTGTATCCAAGGGAAGAAATGCCTGAAGCAGTGGGAGGAGCTCCTTGTCTCCTTCACCAACTGGTTTCTAACAACAGGTTTCTATTTTTACCCTGCAGACTGAATTCCCTGTCCCAGAACAGTTCAAGACAGTGTGGAACGGTCAGAAGCTGGTTACCACTGTGACGGAAATTGCTGGCTAAGCACAACAGCCCCAAGGCTCACGCCCTCCCCTGGCCCTGCTGTGGGACAAATCTGCTTCCAGATGATTCTTTTAGGTTTCTTGTACCTTTCTGCTCTCAAACTGCTTCTCGTCTACCCACAGAGAGACACAGCTGCCTGCCGGCACCGCGATGCCTCTGCCTGGGGCTTGGTGTAGGTGCTGGGTCAGTTATTGCCCACATCTATTAGCAGGAAGGTGAATTCTCTTTCCTCCCCCCCCCCCCACCCCTTGTCTGGTTTCAGTGCACCAATTGATGGAGTCAGGTTGATGGTGAGGTTCACAGCCAGTCCGAGCAGTTGGCTTTCGGAGGTGGTGTTTGGAGGTTTTTATATTGCTTTTAAGGAAACTCTTCACGTGAGAGAGGAATGTTGTCCCCTTTTAAACAAATAACGGTGTCTGTCAGGGTCCCGAGCACCCGCTTGCTATGGTGGATGTCTTGAGAAGGTCCTGGGAAGCTGCTAATTCCAGCTCTAGGTACTAGTTGGTGGCATTATGGGAATGGGTTTGTGGGACCAAAGGTTGAGGAGCTGGGCTGTAGCATTCCACCCCCAATTCTCTTTCATCATTCCTATTAGCTCAGTGCATTTCCAGTTGTGCCATGTCAGGAGGCTTTCTATTAACCAGTGCCACAGGATGAGCGCAGCGCAGGGGCTGCGGTTCCCCCCCCACCCCACGGCTCTCTGGCTGGTATCTTGGAGCTGAGCACCTCCTATTCCATGAGCTCTTCACTCTCCCAGGGGAATCTTTACTCCAGGGCTTCCTTCTTGGAGCAGCTGAACTCAGGTTCAGTCTTCCAGGGCAGTTCTTTGAGCCTGTCCCTTTCCAGCCCAGGGTCAGGAGTGCAGGGCTATAAGTACGTGAGCTGATCCCATCGGTTCATCACTCTCTTCCTCATCTGCAGTCAGTCCCCATACAGCAAATCCTCTCACCCTCCCCCTGTTACTTGGCTCTTTCCTTTGGTGGAAGCTCATAGCCCCTGTTCCAGGGCCCTGGAGCAGCGCTGGAGCCAAGGCACAGTACTGTACTGCCCACAAAGGGAGCTGCACGTGCTTTGACCTTCATTTTTCCAACGCCTCGGGTGGCATAAGCATATCTTAAATGCATTTCCTCTGTAAAGTGTCAATGTTCTTTTTCTCTAGTACAAAACTTACAAAAAAAAAAAAACAAAAACCCACAAAAATATGCAAGTTTTTTTTTTATTATTTTGAGACTGTCCTGTGACTTGTACTCGTCTTCTCCTGAGGCTTGTGGAAAAAAACCTTTCTTATGTACTTAAGATTATACAGAAGATAGAATAAAGTTAATGCCAACTTGCTCATTACAGTGGCTCGTGTCTGCTCTTTGGGGGCACACAGGACCAGCTGCCCAACGTGCTTTCCCCATGGGCATGTACAGACTTTCCTGACCCCCCCCCTTGCATCACTTGCTCAATCTCACCTGGTTTTAGTTGGTTAAAGTCTTTATTGGTTCCAGTTGCTGTACAAAAGTGCCATTAGTTGCAAACTTCAAGCTGTTAATACCCACTTAATGCAAACCCCTCCTTTTTCCCCATGAAACACCTCAAGTTGCCCCTTTCCCCCCCCGCCCCAGGCCTGAAGGATGGGCTCTAATGTCTTTCCTCTGCAGCCAGCCATGGGTCTACCTGCTGATCCTATCGAGATGCTCAATGCTTGCACTAGTGCATTCAGTTAATACTGCCACTGTGGCCTGTGAGAACAGGCAAGGGGAGAGGAAGCCTCTGGAGCAGACTTAACCCAGGCCTACGCAGGACAGAGCGCTTCAGAGCCAGGGCAAGGCTCAGTGCACCAAGATGGGAGTGCAGTTCCACCCAGAGAAACCCTGGTCTCTTAATAAGAGGTGCCACCGTGCCCCTTGGAGCTGCTGAGCTAAGGGCCCTCTTCCTCCCCTTCCCCAGATCCTTGCAGGCTCTACATGGAAAGTGCCATTGCCCCATAGCAGCTGCTTTAACTACAGTGGTGGAACCCCCCCCAGTGCTCTCACAGGGCCCTCCCCTTTGCTTCACTGGAGGAAGGGGAGGATGGAGGTGTAGAACCACTCTTCGGAGAAGTGGAGGTGATCCCCCTTCACCCCCAGGAACACCAACTTCCCTGCTTTGTCCATCTCCTGCAGCCCCAGGCGATCCTGTGGAGGGAAGCAGGATCATGGGTGCCTTCCTATGGGGAGCCTGGCACAGAGGAAGGTGCTGGTGGGCAGGGAGTGGGTCCCACCTCTGCTCTCCAAAGCTTCTCCTCATCGAGGGGAAAAAGGCATTTTGGATGACATACAGCAAGGCAGTGGGTGTTAAACACAGGCTGAAGGGGATCCTGAGCCAGGCACAAGCATGAGACCACCGCTGTAATTCCCACTGCCCAAACTCACCTGGACAGAAATGCCTTCCCAAACAGCTGCTGGGAAGAGGAGGCTATGCCCCAGGAGAGCAGAGCTGTGGGGGTCAGAGCCCCTCAAGGCCAAGGGATGCTATAAGGTGTTAAGAGCAGCGAGCCCTCAGCCCCAGCAGAACGCACCTCTGTGTACAGCGAGCTCTCCTTCAGTGGGATGGTCTCCTTGGCTTGGCCACTTCTGTAAAACCCAAACCACTGTTGGAATTCAAACAAGAACTGGGTTACTGAAGGGATTCCAGATGAGGAGGCTCTCACCAGCTCCTGCTGGAGCCCCTGCAGTGTCAGGCCTATGTGGTTGGGCTCAGCCTCAGCAACCTCAGGTTCTGCCATCAAAGGACAAACGAGAGCCAAGCACTGAAGCAGCACCCAGAGCCTGCCTCACCTCGGAGATCGGGGGGTCGACCATGGTATCATTGAGAAACCTCACCATCACAAACTTCTTCAGAGCCATCAGGTTTTTCTTGTAGGTCTCATTGATGCCCTGGAGGAAAGCAAGAGCACATCCAAGTCACTGGAAAGCTCACAGGCAGGTCAGGGAAACCACCTTTGCACCAGCAAAGGAGACCCCAGGTCCTCACCCTCTCCTGGTTTATGTCAGCCAAAAAGATGCTGTTTTTCCTGTAGTCATCCTCCTTCAGCGGATCATGCCAGTACTCTGCTTGCACCAAGCTGGAAACGAGTGAAACCAAAGATCAGACAGGAACCCAGAGCTTGGAACATGGCCCTGCTATGGCAGCTTGAGGAATATACTCACTGCTCCTGAACAGCCTGTGTGTAAGCACCGAGATCCAGCGTCTTTCGGATCCAGTCACAGATACGGGAGCTCTCCCCAGGACAGCGAGGGAAGCCGTAGACGCCTGGGGAACAGAGCTGTGTAACTGAAATCCCTTAATCCCTCCGGCTGGTAAAGAACCACCCTCTTACAGAGCACTGGCAGGAATTACCCAGGGGATCAGGTAGCCTTTAATCCTGCAATCCCATTAGGCCAGGGAGCTACAGAGGTAATGGAGGGGGTTCTTGAGCTGAAGGTGTTGCCCTGGAGAACAGAGGCAGAACAGCAGGCAGCTCAGTGCTGTGTTCCCAGGGGTCTGGGATGGTTCCCTCCAAGTCTTCCCACTGCACTACAAAGAAATAGACTCAAGCTCTGGATATTCTCAGGGGAGAGAATGTGAAATTCACTGCCAGCCCCTCTTAACTGCAGAGCTCTTCAATGCTGTTTCATACTGCCTCTCATCTGCTGCAGAAAGCACCTCCCTTTCCTCGGAGCTTTAACATTCCAGATGCTGGTTGTAAAACACCCTTGTGACCCAGGTTTAGTTTCACCAAGGCTTTGCTCCCTCCTTAATAGTTTCTTCTGTCTAATCCCAACTAATCCCAAGTATAGAATTCCATGCAGATAATAAATGATCTACTTACAAAGGCCCCTTCTCATTGCCAATCTAACAAGACCGAGACACAAGATAACAAAGTTTGCTGACAACTGGGCCCAAGCAGACCACGAGGTTCGGAGAACAAAGGGACAGGGTAATTCATGAGAAAATAGCCAGATTTTAGGAAGAGGTAAAAAAACAAGAGCCCCCCTCCCCTTCAAGGTGGTTTGAGTGCTTCAGAGGACACTACCTTGGTGCTGTCCCCCAATGGAGATCAGATTGAGCATGGGAGGAGAAGGACACCTCTGGGCCACCGCCCGCCTGTGTGGGAAGAGGAAGGTGCTGAGCTGGCTCCATGTGCCCAGCCACCGGGGCTGGTTCACAGCTTCCCACAGCTCTCAGCTTGCCACAGTGTGGGCTTGGGCACTTGGGGAAGGTTTGCAAAGAGAATTCACCCTTCCTGGTGGAGGAAGGCTCCAGGCAAACGCGTCCTTGCCTCTTTGGAGCGCTCCTGCCTCTAGGAAGGGGTTTGTCCGTTTCCATCTGCGTTGCTCTTCACAAGAGTTTTAGATCAGAACCCCAAACCCTCCAGAACCCCCTGGGATGGATCAGAAAGGTAAACTCACAGGAACTGGCCTCCCTGGGAGAAGCCCATTGAATTGTAGCCTCCTTTGAGGTGAGGGTCCTTTGCCAGCTGGCTGCACACCTCTCTCACCTGGTCGTTTGCGTTCATGAAGAAGCTGTTCTCCATATCCTGAGGGATGAGATAGATTAGAACACAGAACTTGGCCTTTTACAGTGGCTCACAGAGCGCTTCCAGTTTTGCTTTTGAAAAAGGACCTGAGCTGCCCCACTATGACAGAAGTTAAATGCTCATTTTGACCCTTCCCTTCATGTCTGGTTCCTACTCTGCGTGCCAAAACTGCCTCATACAGAACAGCGACGTGCTTCTTGGCAATTCAAGTCCCTTCAGATTTTGTGTCTGTACATACATAGAGATAAACCCACACAAATCAGACTTCAACCGTCTCCTTCAGGTCCCAGGAAATAACATTCAGTGCACTGGAATCCTGAGAGACAAAAGAAATCCCATAGGGCTACTGAGAACTGCCAAAACCCCATAAAGACACAGAATAAATCCTCATTATACTAAAGATATGCAGTGAATAAATGCTTGTAAATCAAAAAGGGGGTAAGGAATAAAGTTCTGCTCTAGCACAGTATCTTATCACATGCCTTCATGTTACCTGGGGTGGTCAGAGTGCTAATTAGGGGGTTTGTGTATTAATCCAGTTTAGACTTGGGATTTGGTTGTACCCAGTTCTTTTCTGCAGGCAGGACCTAGACTAGTTTCTACCTGTCAAAGCTGTTTGCTTCACAAAGAGGAAGGTTAGCAGGGAAAGCACAACAGGAACCCTCATGGGATCAGGTGAGTATCAGAGGCAGGTATTGCACCTCCAGACCTGCCACACCCAGCCCCGCAGAACCACGAGCAGCAGCACCCCATTACCTGTATCAGGTTGCTTCCAATCTTCAGAGACACAACATAAATCCCTGGTATTTTACTCTCCACTATCTTTTTAATGTAGCCCATGCTTAGCGGGTTGCAGCAAGTGTCTCCTGTGGAAGGGAACACCCCAACGCACCATCACCGCGCTGCCTAAGGCCCCCGCCGCGCCTCCACCGAGGGTCAGCACCTCCCGGCCTCCGCAGAGCCGGAGGAGGACACGGCAGCGACCGCGAGCCCCCCTGGGGAGCGCTCCTGTCCCCCCCCCGGCCCCGGTTCCCGAGGCTCACCCATCCCGTGCCAGATAACGAGGGGGACGGCGGCCGCCGCGCAGCACAGGCGCAGCGCCAGCACCGCTGCTCTGAGCGCCGCCATCTTGGCTGAGCACGTGACTGCCGGCCGGAGCTGGTCACGCGGAGGGGGTGAGGTCTGTCCCAGCGCTTGGTGCCCTCCCGTGGCTGAGCCCGGCACCGGCTGCGGTCCGGGTTGTCCCGGCCCTTCTAACGCTGGTCCTTTAGAAGCGAAGGGGCAAAACACAAAGGAGGGCACCGACAGAGTCCAACCGGGCAGCCCCGAGCTCGGCCCCGGAGGCGGGGAAGGGGAGAAGCAGGGGCAGCCTTGGGCTGGTGCCATCCGGACGGAGCGAGAGCCCCGCTGCAGGCGTTCAGCTCAGCGTGTGGCCACTGGGAGAGGTGTTTGGATCCAGACCGGGGCGTTCGGCTTGCCCCTTCCCAGGGAGAAGCTCCAACCCCTCCGGGGCTCCGGCAGGGCTCCCGGCGGTGAGGGCCCCGCCACCCCGTCCTCCGGCCGCCAGAGGGCGCTGCCGCGCCGTCCCATAAGACCCCGCGGCGGCAGCCAGCTGGCCTTTTCCCCGCCTCCATCATGGCGGTGAGTGGCGGGTTCTGCTATGGGCTGCGCTGTCTCTATCCGCCGCCATCCGTTCCTGGCGGGGCTCTGCCCGGCCGCCACCTGTGCGGGACGGAGCGGGGGAGGCCGGGAGGGAGCGCTGCGGGGCCGGGAGGGGTAGGGAAGAGCCGATGGGCTGCACTGGGGGAGCGGCTGCCATGACAAGCCGCGGCCTGGCGGCCGGATGAGGCTTCCTCAGGCCTATGGAGCGAGCAGGCGGCCGTGTCCCGGGCATCCCCGCCGTTACCCTCCGTGTCGTTTGTCCGCAGCAAGACCAGGGTGAGAAGGAGAACCCCATGCGGGAGCTGCGCATCCGCAAGCTGTGCCTCAATATCTGCGTCGGGGAGAGCGGGGACAGGCTCACCCGGGCGGCCAAGGTGCTGGAGCAGCTGACGGGCCAGACCCCCGTCTTCTCCAAAGGTGAGGCTGCTGCCCGGCTCCAGCCGCGGTGCCTCTCCCTGAGCGTGCAGTGGGGCTCTCGGGAAGGGGCTTCAGGGTGGGGAGGCCTGGCCTGGCTGTGAGAGCTGGGAGCCTGAAACGTACCGGGCTGGGGGGAGTCGGTTCTGCCTCCAGACTGGGGCTGCTGCTCAGCCCTCCCCCCAGAGAGGGAACCTGCGGTTGCTTTGGTGCTTTTTTCTTTCTTTGAAATTGATTTCTTTGCTGGTCTTAAGCTGTTTATGTATTCCCTGGGTGGGAATCCTCTGAATAATCTCTAAGTGTAGTTATTGCTGCCTGCAGCACGGTACACTGTGCGATCCTTTGGAATCAGAAGAAATGAGAAGATTGCTGTTCATTGCACGGTTCGTGGGGCCAAAGCAGAGGAGATTCTGGAGAAAGGCTTGAAGGTAAGAATTTGGCTGGTTTGGGTCTTTGATTTGGGAAAGAGCAAAGCTGAATCTGCCCCAGCTGAAGAGATGTGTGCTTTGAAATGTTGTAGCTGAGCTGGTGACAGATACACCCTGATACGGACCGCTGTGTTTGCACCATTCCTCTTCTTGCTCTTCCATCTGTTTTTAAGAGTGAGTTGGTGTGGTTTCTGCTTGCTTTTGGAGTTCTGTCTCTGCTGCAGTTATTTATGAGTAGACTTTGAGAGTAAAACCTTAGGGCTGAGGATGAAGTAGCGTGTGAGTTGGGATGGTGGCAGTTGGTAGAACACACAGGACTGCTGCCTCTGCAGTCAGTGATGAAATAGTGACTGACAATCGCTGTTGCAGGTGCGAGAATATGAGCTGAGAAAAAACAACTTCTCAGACACCGGGAACTTTGGCTTTGGAATCCAGGAGCACATCGACCTGGGGATTAAATACGATCCCAGCATTGGTATCTACGGCTTGGACTTTTACGTGGTGCGTATTCCCCGCTTCCTTGCAGCCACTGGGTTTGTGTGAAAGCTCTAGAAGGAACCTAGGATGATAACTGGCTTGTGAACCTGCTGCCCAGCTCTGCATGGTAGAAAATGCCCCCAGAATTCCCATGTAAACTGAGTGGGGCTGCTATAGAATTCCAGGTTTATGATGTGTCACACAAAGCCCCTTCAGAAGGAAGTGCTCCTGCTTGTACTGGTACTCGTGAAGTAGCACTGAAGAGGCTGTGTTGGGTTTGGGGGAGGAAGGTGCAGCAGGGGCTTTGGGAATGCAGGCAGAAGGATGGCTCTTGCTGGAAGGCTGTCTGCTGTGTGAGGGCTGGTGGGTCTCATTCGTTCCATTGTGGTATGCCTCATGCTCAGTGTCTGAAGCAGAGGGAGGCTGTTCCACCTGTGTTAGCAGTGCTGGTCATTGGATCTGTTCTCTGGAGCCTCTGGATATGGATCTTACACACTTGTTTAGTTTCTCCAAGTCAGCCTAAGTGCCGAGTTGCACAACCCAGGGGCTCTCGTGTAGTTTTATATTTACATTGAGGATAACGCTCTTGGTCTTGAATGTGAATTGGATGAGGAGACGTTATTGATGTGGAAATTCCAGCCTTCCATCCTAAAAAACTGTGAAGTGTAAGAAAATCCCTGGCAGAATAAATCAGTGCTGTGGGTCTGCTCTGGGGGCAGGTGCTGGGCAGGCCTGGTTTCAGCATCGCTGACAAGAAGCGCAGGACTGGCAACATCGGAGCCAAGCACAGAATTGGGAAGGAAGAAGCCATGCGCTGGTTCCAGCAAAAGGTAAAGTCCAGCTTTATTTTGTATCCCAAGAGTTTCCTAGCAAGGAGCAAGGCACTGGGCAGGAGGAGATGGAGATCCCTGTTTATTGTTGATTATTGCTGCTCTGCAGCAGTGAGGCTGTGTTTGGGTGCAAGTGCTGGTCATACCTCTCTTGTGTGTGCTGAACTCAAAAGAGCAGTTGCAGCAGCATAGCTGGAGGAGTGTCAGCTCTTGTGTAAGTCTCTCAGGTGGTGTTTGGATGTGTTTAACATGGCGTGGAGCAGGAATGGTGAGGCAGGGTTATTAGGATTTGTCTGACAGCTCCTAGCTCAGCTGCTAGACTTGGAGGATGGAGTAGTCCAAGTGAAAGGAGTTTGTCTGGGTTTGTGTATGCACAGCTCTGAGCCAGGCTGGGCAGTGAGCTGGAAATCATCAGATGGGAATTGTTGGTGCTTTTTCAAGTTGGAAGGGGTTGGATGGTCTGTCTGGAGGCTCTGCCTACACCTCCACTGTTGTACCCTGTGCAGGGAGGGTGCCAGCCTGCTCCTGCAAAGTGGTTCTTGCTGTGGTGTGGCTTCCTTCAGGACCCGTATCTTTGCACTGTAAAAGGGATGAGTGCAGTTTGGTCAGATCTGCCTGTGAAGGGTGGGTGGGCTGCTTGTTTCACTGGGCTGCTGAGCAGAGTTTAGTGCTTGTCCCCTCCTTGGAAGTCAGCAGCAAAGCAGCTGGCTGCAGAGAGCTGGTGTTTCATGTCTCTCTTGCCTGGCCTGGGGTGAATGTGGCAGCTCGGTTTCCTGCCCAGCAGCATTGCACCTCTACCTGGTGGTACATTCTCACTTGCTCCTGTCTTTTGTTTCCCTCACAGTATGACGGCATCATCCTTCCTGGTAAATGAGCAGCTCCTGTTACTAAAAAAGGGCAAATAAATTTTTCTAAGCTCCATCTCCTGTTGTGAATTTTGTGGGGGCTCCTCCTGAGCTGGGAGGCTGCTGAGAGCAAGAGGCTCTCACTCCAAAGGAAGCAGAAGGATGTGGACATGAAGAGAACACACTGTTCTCAGGAGCAGGTGTTGGATGTATGTGGTGCTGTCTGTGTCCAGCTGCACAGATGGCATGTAGAACTTTGGAGTCTGCAAGTGGGTGTAGAAAGAAGAAAACAAATACATGCTTTTTGACTACTGGAGTTGTTGAGTGGGAGTTTTGGAGAGTTGAACATGGGAAGGGAGTGCAGTCAGTCAGTGCTGGGTCTGGTCCTCAACAGACCAAGCTGCAGTATTGAGGGTTCCTAGTGAATGAGGGAGTCCAAGTCAGTGGGAGAAACTTGGCTGCTCTGGAACTATTTGGCTTCCCAAGGAAATGGCACATGTACTCTCAGTAAAGTAGAGCTATAAAGCTGAAGTGTGGTTGAGGGCTCTTTATGCAAGGGGCTGAGAGGATGAGCTAAGGCCTGTGGTGTCTCTAAACGGATTCAAACCCTGTGCCCTGGAGGGGCAGCTGGGATGAGGCAGCAGAGCCCTGGAGCTGTCCTGGGTGGTGTGAGACCCAAGTACCTGTACCTGCAGCTGGTGGAGTTGTTTCTGCCCCACAGATCATGGTGCTCTTAATGAGTGCTAGAAACCCGGAAGCAATTAAAATCCCAAAGAGATTATCTTCTTTGTTAAAATGCTTTATGTGTGAACTTAACACTGCTGTAGTTACCCAGCCAGACAGTTCCCCCTGCAAAGGAATGGTCTTTATTGTTTGAAGAGAATATTCCCTGCAGGACAGGGCAGCTCACACAAGTGGGGTTCAGGAACACCCTTTGCTTCTGCCTCTTGGGCTTGGTTTTCTCCTTGCAATAAAAAGCTACAGTAAAAAAATTAAGGGGCAAACTCACTTCTATGCCAGTCTGTACATGCTCCCCCAGTCACTGCAGTGTTAACTCAAACCAGACCCTTCCTTTCTCAAGCCTATTTGCAGTTGTAAAGCAGGGAGGTTCGCCAGCACTGCTCAGGATGGAGCCCACTCCAAGACACACAGAGCAGTGTGTGCTGTGCATGCTGAAACACACAAAGGGAAGTGGAATTTGAACGGGAATGATGTTCTGCTGTGGTGTAGCTCCATGCTTGAGGTGAACTCTTAAGATTGGGAATTCTCAGGGGAAGATCAGTTCCTGCATGAGAACTGTGGTGAGCAGTGAAAAGCAGCCTGCTTTGCTGTAGCTTTTCTCTTGACATCTTCATGGCACATTGGGGTTCCCTTCAGCAGCACGTTGGCTTCCTGGATATTCCAGTGTTGTGCAAAGAAGACCAGAACAAAACCAAGAGTGTTTGCCCTGATGCTCAGCAGCCCTGCTTGAGTAATCCCTGCCTCAGCTGCGGGATGGGGATGCAGGTAGCTCAGAAGATGCTCTTCTAGAGTGTTCCAAACTTGCCGTGGTGGAACAAAGGTGTCTTGAGGCTTTGCAGTGACTCCAGCTATCAGTGTGCCTCCCCATCCAGCCACCCCACACCTCTGAGCTCTGTCTCCTTCACTAACTGCTGCCATAAGCCAAGCCACATGGCACCCAGGGCTCCTTACGTGCTGGCTGCTGCTGAGCCCACAGAGCTGGCCCGAGACCTGGAGCTGAGGGGGCGTGGGAGGGTGATGGTGCAGCATGAGACACCCACAATGGCATCAGGGAGGTCCTTGTCCTCAGCCCACTCATTGAGGTCGGGGTTGTAGCACTGAACACACTTCTGATACCTCTTCCCACTCTCGTTCCAGCCACCCACCAGGCACAAGTGCCCCTCCAGCAGAGCCACCCCAGCCGTGCTGACCCCCGTGGGCAGCGGGGCCATGGAGCTCCACTGCCCTGTGACTGGGCTGTAGCACTCCACGGGCATCACATCCACTCGCTCACCCTGGGGACCCACCTGGCTCCCACCCAGTACATAGGCTCGGTCTGCCACGGTGGCCGCGCAGTGCCAGCCCCGGGGGGTGCTGAGCATTGCCTGCTCCCTCCAGGAGTCGGTGCTGGGATGGTAACAGAGCACGGTTCGGGAATAGGCATTGCTGATGTAGCCACCAGTGACCAGGAGCTTGCCGTCCATGAGGGTGGTAGCGTGGCAGCAGCGCGGTGTCTCCAGGCTCGCCTTGCTCTGCCAGCTGTTGGTGGTGGGGACGTAGCACTCCACGGATGCCAAAGGGCCCTCAGCGTTGCGCCCTCCCACAGCATAGAGGAGCCCATCGCAGGTGCTGAGGCTGAAGTGTGACCTCCTGTGCTGCATGCTGGCCAGGTGCAGCCACGTGTTGAAGCGAGGGTCATACCTGGGGACAAAGAGAGATCTGTCTGCCCAGGACTGGCATCAGAGCCACAGGGAGAGGTGGGGCCTGCCAGACAGCTGCAATGGGGGAGGCATTTTGGGCTCTGAAGAACCTCTCTGCTTCTCCAGCAGTAAAAACCCCTCCTGACAGGCAGTGCAGATGGAGATGACAGCACTGCACAGGACTAGATCCTGCCCTGGACTGCTGGCATTGCTGCTGTAACTCTTGGGATGGCCCAGCAGTGCTCCTTCCACCGCAGCTCTAAGCCTGGCTTGGAAATGGAGAGTGCTATAGATCTGAGGTGCCCCAAGTACTATCACAGTCCCCTCTATTGGGTCTTGGTGGGTAGAAGAGGACCTAAGGACAAGCCTTTTCTGCCCACCGTGCCAAGCCAAAGCCAAGCACATGACAAGAAGCCAGTTCCTGTGTGCCCATGAGACAAGAGAGGGAAGTGGAGCTGCCAGGTCCTCAGAGCAAGGCGACAAGGATTAAGCCAGGCTGGAGAAGGGGGATGAGCTTCTACTGGCCAGAAACAGGAAGTCAGTGGGTCTCTTCAGCCTCCCTTGGTGCAGGAGAAAGAGCCCATGACAGCTCCTATCTGCAGTGGGGTGATCAGCAGCCACACAGCTAGCCTCGAGCAGTGCTGACACTGACATTGTGTGTGGAGTCTCAGGTGGCTGAGCGAAGCCACGGGCAGAGCCATTGGGGAGGTCAGGTTTATGTTGCAAACCAAATACTGCATGTCAGGTTGCCATGGTTACTCCTTTTTTTTTGAGCAGTAATCCCTTGGGGATCCAGTGACAGGTTTATGGGGATTTAGGAAACAAACCTGGCCATTTAAATGATGGAGACATGGAGGTGAAGACAAGAAAGCCTGAAGGGCAACAGGAATCTTACAGGCAGTAAACAGACCTTAAAATGAACCCAGGCAAACCAGAGAGCAGGTCAAGGCTGGCCCTAGATTGAACCCCCTGCATAGCCACATGGGGCCTGTCTTACCTGCTCAGGCTGCTGACAGCATGCTTGGCCTGGTTCCTGGCATCGTTCTGGTCTTCCCCACCCGCAACGTAGATGAATCCATCCATCACCACCACACACTGGTTAAAACTCTTTGCTGGCATCTCCGTCAGCTTATGCCAGTTTCCCTCTGCATCCCTGTAGCTGATCTCCCTGCTCAGAGCCTTCTCAGTCAATGCTGGACGGCCCCCAACTGTGACAAGCACCCTCTGGCCTCCCCGTATCCTGGTTCTCCGAGACTGAAGGCTGTTCTGCTGGTGGGGGAGCAGGTGGTAATTCATAGCATCGACAAGGAGCTTGTGGCACTGTGGATCTTGCATCATGCGTGGCACAGGCTGCACATGGTTGACCAGGTCTGGAGCAGACATTGTGCCAAAGCGAATGTTGCTCAGGAGGTCAGCAGCATACCGGACCCGTTTCGGGTCAAACTCCAGCCACTTGACAGCAATCTGGAAGGCAACAACCTCGCTGGGTATCTGCAGACCATCGTCCATCAGCAGCTCATTGATCTGATTGAAGGGGAGCTTCAGGAACTGCTCAGTCTTGGAGAACTCCAGGAAGTTTTCCCGGATGAATTTCCGTGTGGCATCTTCCACCTGGTTGAGGCCAAAGTTGGCGGAGATGTTGGCGATGTAGATGCAGTTCTCCACAGCCATCTCCCGCATGAGGAAGTCGCTGCACATCTTCAGCAGCGCCGGGACCTGCAGCTGGGTGGCCGCGGCGATGGTGCTGCCGATGGTGTAGAGTGAGAGGCTCAGCTTGCCTGTGTAGGCATAGGTGATGGTGGTGGCGAGGCCCAGCGGGGACACGTCGTGGAGCTCCACGCGGTGCAGCTGAGGGTCTCTCTGCAGCAGGTGATGGAAGTACTCACTGCAGGAAGCCAGGATGACTTTATGCACCTCGAAGGACTTTGTTTTGGTAGCGATGGTGAGGTCGCAGAGGAAAAGCTTCTGGTGCATCTGGTTCATCCCCTCCAGAAGGCTGGCTCCATGCTCTGGGGCTTTGACCTCCGTGGCTGTGCAGTGGAAGCCATTGGAGCCGCTGTTGTACAGACTATTCCAGTGATGGAGGTGTTGGACATCCAGCAAAGCATCTTCAACCGGCACTGGGGGGATGGATGCAGCCTCTTTATCCACCGTGGGCTTCTTAGGGGGTTTCTTTTTGGGTGCCATGTTGGTAGAACCAGAATGGGACCTGGGGATAAAGAAGAGGTGAGGAGCCCTGGAGCAGGGGTGCAGGCATCCTGCTGCTCTTTATGACATTCAGTGAAACAAAGGGAAACCTCCCCCTGACTTAACGTTTGGGTCAGGCCAAAGGAAGGATGGGAACTGCCACCCAAGCCCTGTGTGAAAGGCATTGAGGGCCATGACTGCAAGAGGGGATCCTCAACTCTCAACCAGCCCCAGCACTGTGATAAAAGAGAACTGGGATTTTGGGTGGAACTGGGGAGCACCCACTGGGTCCTGGGGTGCGGGGCCACACTTGCTCTGCTGGCTGGGTTGACCCAGACTCCAGACAGAGTGAGCCAGTGATCACAGGGTGTGTTTCTGCTGACTCAAGCCCACGTCAGATGGGGCTGAATCTGATAGAGGTTCCTACACAGCACCAAGCTAAGATGAACCCCAGCACTGCAGGAAAAGGGGGTTCATGTCCCCCTCAGCCCCTTGGGCATGGTGAGGCATCCAGACGACCGTTTGGGCTCTTTGGGGTCAGGGTGGAAGTGAAGGGGGGGAAGAAAAAGGAACAACAATAACGCAGGTTTTGAATGTTCCCCAATTCCAGTCTGAAACTTGGCAGGGACTTGAGCTCCTCAGAGCAGCCAATGTATGAGGGAAGAGATCTGCTGGCCAGAAATAGCTGTTACTGCGCTCACATGTCTGGGGACTGTTTGCTGCACTTGGCCATCACGATCAGGTTGCTCAGAACTGAGTCATCGCACGCATTTAGCACAGGGCAAGGGGGGAATGATGGGACTCCAGCAGAAAAATACGGAGAAGGGAAAAGTTTGGTCCAAGTCCCTGCTGGGAAAGAGGATTCCAGGCTGAGCCCGAGGGGGAGCAGTGGGAGCAGGGAGCCAAGGGGACTCAGGAGCAAAGCCCCAGGCACTCAAGCCATCCCTGGCACTGTGGTGTTCCATGGGGATGCCCCACTTTACACCATGGAGAGCTCATCTGTCACAGTGTCACATCCTGGAGCGGGCGTCAGGCCCTTTGGAGCTTGGGTGCAAATCCTGTTCTCTCTGGGTGTGTTTGAATACCAAATGGCTTCTGACATGCAGCTCCAGGCTGGGAAAAGGAACTGGGATTGACCCTATCCCAGCACCAGCACTGGGGTGTTCCCAACCACCCCTTTTGTTCAGACTGTATCAGGAGAATTCGGAAGTTCAGCTTTTCAACCGAAATATAGGTGAAATATTGGAATTTCCCAGGAAATTCCAGTGTTTCTCCAGGTCTTCTCCCCAGGTCCCTCAGACCTGTGTCCTGCCCTGCAGCACTGCCAGAGCATCCCTGCTGCCCAACAAACCCAAAGGGAAGCAGGATTTGTCCCATCCCCAAAAGCCTTCTTCACTCCTCTGGGGAAGCCCAGCGGTGCAGCTGGTTTCTCCATCCCCTATCCACCCCATTCAGGAGACAAGGGGGAAGTTGTTCTGGGATACAACAGAGATCTTCTAACTGCATCCCACACAAGCACAGCAGAGCCATGAGACGCTTTGAGCTCAGTGATGCCCATGGCGTCCCACCTGTCCCTTTGGACACCTTTGACCGGCTCCCATAGGAAACACATGCTTGTGCTATTCCAGCTGGTGGCTGCAGGAGGGCAAAGCGACCTTTCCTACCTGCACTTAAGACGGGACATTGTGCCTGCTTCTGGCTGCAATACCACTGCAGCCACCTGAAAGGGGTATTTTTCCTACAGCTTAATCCTGGCTGCTGGATTAATCTGGGAGCTGGAATAGTTTTAAGGAGGCCCCAGACAGAAAGAAGACGGCTTCTTTCTGGCTGTTTAAATCTCCCTTAGAAGACAGTCGTTGTCCCCACATCCTTTCAGTGCTGCTGATCTCAGTCCCGCACCACAGTCCTGAGCTCACAGCAGGACCACAGTCTCAGGGGGTTCCAAGGGGCTGATTTCCTTCAGTACCTCACCAAACAGAGCTCCTCTCCTTCACCTGCCCCGGCCCCCAGGCAGGGGCTGAACGCTGCAGCTCTGGGCCCTCTTCTGCTGCCAGCCCCTTCCATTCCCGTGCCCCACACAAGCCCTGTGGGTCCTGCTGCATGGGGCTGCCCCTTACCTTGCTGTTACACCCGGTGAGTCCAAGGGGAAGCTGTGGGCAGAGCAGGGCTCCGCTTGCCCCACGGGACATCCTCCTTCCCGCTCTCCCTGCCAGCTGCCCGCTCTTATCACCTCTATGGCTCCAGCCGGCTTTGGGGTGAGGTGAGGACAGCTTCCCCCGGCCACGGCAAGGCCTGGGCTCAGGTAGCGCTGCTCCAGCCAAGGGCATGGCTGCAGCCAGCAGCAGCAGTGGGGCAGGGTTACCTGAGCACTGCCAAGGGCACGGAGAGCAGCCAAAGGCCCGGCTCCACTGCTGAGGGGCTCAGCAGGGATGATGTGGGGAGACATCGCCCTGCTGCTGCTCCCCCCCCCCAGGCCAGGAACAACGCAGCCTTTGGCCGTGAATGAATCTAACCTCGTACTTCCCACTCGCTCCAGCAGCTTTAGGAGGCAAAGAGACTGGGGATGGAGCGGCTTTTGTGCTGCCCTGACCGTGGCGGAGCGGCTCCTCAGCAGTGCCCTGCCCGCACTCAAGATGGCGCTGCCCCGCCGCCGCTGCCAGGCCCCAACATGGCACCCGCAGAGCTCTGCCCTCACCCGTCATGGCCGCGCGGGCCAGGGTAGCGTTTCGCCGCTTCCGCTTCCTGCCCTTAGCCAAGATGGCGGCAGCAACGGACAGATGCCGTGCGGGCAGCGGGCGGTGAAGCCGTTTCCGCCGCCGCGGCCTCGCCAGCAATAAAAATGGCGGCGTCGGTGCTGGAAGTTGTGGGCAAGCTGCAGTCGCGGCTGGCGGGGAGCTCCGAGCCCAAGAAGGTGACGGGGGGCGGCGGCGCGGCCGGGGTTCCCCTTCCGCGGCAGGGCCGGCGCGGCGGGGCTGGGGGTCGGGAGGGCCTAGGCCGTCCCGCGGGGGGGGCACAGGGAGCGGGGCCGGGCCTGCTTTGCTGTCCCTTGTGCTCCGGAGTGTCCTGCCCGGCCGGGGCCGTGGGGCGAGGCGGGCGGCTCTGCCTGCGGGGCAGAGCTCGGGGCTGTCCCGAGTAGGATCCCCCCTCGGTGCTGCCAGCCGGGTCTGGCCGCTCAGGCCCTGCCTGCCACGCTGGAGGCCCGCCGCGGAGGGCGGAGGACCCCGGGGGCAGGCGGGCAGCGGGAGGGAGGCCTTGCCCTGGGGACGTGTTCGTACTCCGGAACCAAGGTGCCCACACGGCTGGGACGGGGGCACCGGGAGGCCCGGGACAGTGGCAGGGCTGCTTTGATGGCCGGGGGCAGGGCACGGAGCCGCTGAGCGCTGACTCTGCCCCGGTCCCTGCGCTGGGCTGGGGGAAACGGCTCGGTGCCCCTCGCCCGTCTGCACGAGGGAACGCGTCCGTTGCCAGAGCCCGTTGCGCGGAGCGGCTGCCGTGTGCTCCAGCCCGTGCGGTGACACGGGGCTGTGGCTGGCAGCAGCACCTGCGGGGTGCTGGGCTGAGCTGCCTTGTTCTGCGGCTGCGATCCGGAGCCGTGCTGGAGCTCAGGTGCGGGCCCAACACGTGCTGCCATCCCTCCTCTCGTACGTTCAGGGAGGAGCATCTGGGGTGACGGTTTCCCGGTGTCCGGTGTGTGTTTGACTCAGTTCAGGTGCAAGAGGAGGCAGATGGGGCCATGGAGCCGCTCTGTGCTCAGCTGGCTTCAACTGAGGCACATGGCTCAGTTGGGAGGATGGACACCGAGCTGCTCAATTGCCAGCCCCTTGAAACAGAGCCCCCTGTACCCAGCTCCAGCCATACCAGGAGTGAAGCAATGAGAGGCTCAGGTTCCTCTCAGCCAAGACCAGAGCAGGGTTTAACTGGTAGGGAGCTGAGGGGCTGCTGAGGACTTGGTTCCAGGGGGGGTTTGGGCTCTGTGGTGCTGAAGGCACGTGCAGGACTTCAAATATTGGCTCAGTGCGTTGTGCACAGGGAATCGCTGCTCCCCTTTCCTGACCCTTGCATCAGCTCGGGTGGTAACTGCCTGCCTCTGCTGCTCGGCCATTGCAAGGCTCTGGGTGCTATTTGCACAAGCTGGCTCTTTCTCCAGTAACCCTATGGTGCTGTCGTTTCTCTGTTGATCCTAGGAAGTTTTGCAAAGGGAGGGAGAGGTGCTGAGCGTTTCCTTCCCCAGCAGGAAGAACTGTATGGCTGGTACCTTTCCAGCTGTATCCTTGGGAGTGTGATTCCAGCCTTGAATCTAGTTGCTATTGCATTGTCCCTACTGGTTGTGCATCATCTGAGCACCTTCCTGTGTTGGAAAGCAGCAAGTTCCTCAACCGTTCTGTAGCAGATACAGCTTTACCTGTGAGCAGGACAGGTCCTCAGCACATCTGGGTGCTATCCACACGTTGCACCGTTTCCAGTCTTTGGTTTTCTTTTCTTGCCCTTTGGAGTTCTTTTATCAGTAATGCCACAGAGTGAGGTTTTGTGGCTTGTGCCTTGTGAGGGGTTGAAACTCTGCCCTGCACTGGGCTGTTTGAGCTGTCTCATCTGTATTTCATGTGGCAGGACCCAGGTTGTGTGTGTTCTGTCTTCTACCTGCCCCCCTTTTCTCATAGGATCTTGGTTAGTTCCGAGCTGCCAGGTTGGGGTCTGCTTGGCTGGGTCCTGTGGGATGTACACCACCAGCTTGTTTCCATAGGAAATACAGATTAACACAAGTGTTGCCCCTTGCTGTATCAGAGCTGCCTCCCTTGGTGCGTCTCATGCACACAGACTTGTGCCCCACAGAGGCTGCCCAGCCGAGAGAGGTTTTGCTGTGCTCTCTGAACACAGCTCCCAAACGTGGCCCTCCTGGGGTGTTCCCTGGCTGCGTCCCGCTTGGACGGCGTCAAGGAGCACCGCTTTGGAGAGCTCAGATTGCCAGATAAGCGCGTTACCGGTGACGCAGGTAACAGAAATGCCCCGTTTCCTGATGGCATCGCTGGAGGGTTTCATTGCTTGGCTGAGAAGTGTGCTGAGCTTGGGTTGCGTGAGCATCCCTCATGAGCGTGCAGGTGTCAAAGCCTGCTGGAGGGGCACGTAGGCAGCGTGGGGCCCCTCGGAACATCAGCTCTTGCTTTATGGTTTCATTAAGATGGGGGGGGGTTTCCAACTGCTGCCTGTGGTGGGAACTGGAATGAACCAGTTCCCCATGAGATGTGGTGTGGATCACGTGCGTAGTCCCCTGGTCTCAAACCACACTTCCTATATGAAATCCAGAGATGAGCCCTGTTGAGAACAGTGCTTTTCTGTTTGGAATTCGGCCCTGAAGGCAGCAAATGACTAAAGAGCAAAAAGAGCTGTGGAGGATGCTGCAGCGGAGTGTATCTACAAAATCATTGGGAGGCTTTAAGGATACGCAAGGAGTTTTCCCTCATCAGTTGAGGCAGGCAGTGGAGCACATTGCCTGCCTCAGGTCCTGTGAATCCTTAAAGTTAAATAGCTTTTAACTAATAGCTAAAAGAGGGGAGACTCTGCTACCCTGAGCTGCAGGGACAGAGGGCTTGAAGACCCAGCACAGCAAGAGCTGCTGCACCCCCATCAGCTCACAGGTGCTGGAACATGGTTACTGGTGGTAGAACAAACTGGTTCTAAAACAAACATGAAAACCTAAACCTTTCGTCATGGTAATTAAGTCCTAAATGTAATGGAGTGGTTGCTGGTGAACAGAAACCATCCTGTGGTTCTGCTTCAGCTGCGTGAGCCCTTATCTCTGTCTCGAGGAGTTCTTTTCTCTCTGAAAGTAATCGACCCTTCAAGTCGGCTCAGAGAACTTCCTTCCTTCAAAAGGAAGGCAAGCTCTAAACCTCTCTGATCCTTGCACGATGCAAGAGGAGGTGATTGGAATAGCTTAGGTCAATGATGCTAATTTGAGCATGAGCAGAGTGCTTTAGAGAGATCTTCTGGATCAGGGACAGCCCTTTGTATGGGATACAGCACGGCAGTGCTGAACAAAGCCTGGGCTGTATAGGGGCTGTAATAATGCTGATGGGGCTGGTCTGGGGCTAGAGCTGAGCTGTGGGAAACAACGTGAGGAGCAGCAGTGCTGTCAGATGTGCAGCTAAAACATCAGTGAAGTGATGCCCCGAACCTCAAGGGGGGGCAGAGGTACCAGTGCATCCCCTTCACCTGCACCTTGCAGTCTGCCTTCCCCCAGTGGCCAGTTTGTGAAACTTTAGGAAGGGCTTTCCCCACCCTCCCCGTCTCAACAAGGAATGTAATTCTCAGCACAAGCTCCCAAGTCCTTCCACTTACTGTGCAAGAGCTGTGGGTGTCTGTTCCTGATGCTTTAAGCCAGAGTTGCTGGAAGTCCTGTGTGAAGAAAGCACTAACAGAGTGTGTTGTAAGACTCTCAGATGGGCCCTCGTAGGCAAAGCGATGATAATCCCTTTACTGTTGCCCCTCGTGTTCAGCTCTTGGGAGCTTGATTTGGAGTGAGAGCAGCTGTCTGCCACTTGGATCTTCCTGACAAGCTCTCACATGGTGCTGGCTTCTCTTCCTTTCTGGTGGTGCTGTGTGGTTCAGGATGACAAGTGTGAACGCTTCCCTCCTTGTCTCTACAGCTGCTGAAGAGTCTGAAGAGGCTGTCTGAGCTGCCCATCACGGTTGACATTCTTGTGGTAAGAGCTGTGAAATCTCTCAGGCTTCCATCGTGTCTGTCAAGGCGCAAGGATAACTGTTTGCCGTGGAGTGGGGTGCGGTGCCTTGGCCACCTGCGACAGCACCGTGTCACAGGCACAGTTGGGATGAGGTTCCAGGCACGGAGAATCAGAGCAAGTGTAAAGCCACAGGGGATGGGTTATCATCCTCAGCTCTTCCCAAAGCTTAACACTTGACTGAGATGCGAGAGTCGGGGTGGATCCTAACAGTAACTGAATCAGCATGGAGTTAGGAAATGCTAATCCTCAGAATTATTAGTGACTTCTGTCTTTAGACTTACCAGTGGCCATGGTAAATGCTAGCTTGGCTTATTAACACAGTTAATTAGTGTTTGACAAGGGTAAAGTTAAGTTGTCTTTGATTTGCTGAATGCTAATAAATGATATCCGTATCCTGGGCTGCATCAAAAGGAGTGTGACCAGCAGGTTGAAGGACGTGATCCTGCCCCTTTATTCTGCTCTCATGAGACCTCACTTGGAGCATTGTGTGCAGTTCTGGTGTCCTCAACATAAAAAGGACATGGATTTGTTGGAACAAGTCCAGAGGAGGCCACGAGGATGCTCAGGGACTGGAGCACCTCCTGTATGAAGACAGGCTGAGAAAGTTGGGGCTGTTCAGCCTGGAGAAGAGAAGCTGCGTGGAGACCTCAGAGCAGCTTCCAGTGTCTGAAGGGGACCTATAGGGATGCTGGGGAGGGACTCTTCATTAGGGACTGTAGTGACAGGACAAGGGGTAATGGGTTAAAACTGAAACGGGGGAAGTTTAGATTGGATATAAGGAGGAAATTCTTTACTGTAAGGGTGGTGAGGCACTGGAATGGGTTGCCCATGTGAATGCTCCATCCCTGGCAGTGTTCAAGGCCAGGTTGGACAGAGCCTTGGGTGATCTGGTTTAGTGTGAGGTGTCCCTGCCCATGGCAGGGGGGTTAGAACTGGATGATCTTAAGGTCCTGTCCAACCCAAACCATTCTATGATACCTGCTGAAAACACAGTGCATGTGATATCCTTGCCCTTTGATCAAGAAGGTTTACTTCTACCTACAGCACTGGGTAGCGGGTTAACTTCAGTCACTTGGAGTTTAGCAGAGGTGGGAATGCTGACTGGTTTGCTGATGAATTCATGTCTTGGCTCTCTCCTGAAGGAGACGGGTGTTGGGAAGACCGTGAACAGCTTACGGAAACACGAGTTGGTGGGAGACTTTGCCAAGAACCTTGTAGCCAGGTGGAAGAAGCTGGTTCCGGTGTCCCAGGAGGCAGACAGGTACGTGACCCTCTTCACTTGGTGGCATTATGTTCTTGCAGTGGAGATCATAAACTTCTCTGGCCAAGGAAACACAGTGAAGGCTCTGGGAAGACTGGTAACACAAACGTGCTAACCCTGCATGGGGTTTTTGCCTGGTTTTGGCATTAACTTCCTGCCTCCGGTAGCCGCAGTGCACCGGGCTGCTGACACTGCAGTTTGCTGTGAAAGAAGGGGCTGATTTTCAAGAACTTGCAGTTTGATGAAGAGATTAACGGTAGATGGCAGGAAAATGCCCTTAATGAAGCAAGAGATGCAATCTGCTCGCTTCCCATTTTACAGTGCTCAAGAGAGGAAGTTGTAGGCCCAAGGGAAGAAAGCAGCTTGCTTTGAAAGGCTTTGATGTTCAAGCATCCTATGGAAAGTGCAGGTTGATGCTAGCAAGCATGCTGCAGTAACCAAGCTGTGTACAACTCAGCAGTGAGAGGGTTCAGGTTATCAGGTTTTCATGATCATTTCAAGGGCTGTGGTATACCTGCATGCTGAACAGGCACCATGCAGCTGGGAGCATGCAGGCATGGAGGAGTCTCTGTATGTGTCTGTCTCCGCTTCCCAGTATACTGTGAAGTCTCAGTCCTAACCAAACTGCTTAATGAATTCTTGCACTAGAAATGCAGTTCCTAAATCCCTGAATGCTCCTGTGCCTGAGAGAATTCGTGCTTCTCTTGCCTCAAAACTGCCAAATACAACTGGAGTCTTCTGTGCGACAGGCTCCCATCCACATGGTCCATGGGGAGTGGTTCTTCTTGTATTTTGATAGTTTAATCTATTTTGCTTTCTTATCCCTTTAGAAATAACGTAGATTCTGAAGACCGTGACTATGAGAGGAGCAGTTCAAGCAAAAGACATCAGGAACCCTCCCTCAGAGAGGATGAGGAACCTGACCAGGAGTATTCAGAACCCTTCCAGCCATCTTGCAGCCAGTCTTATAGCCCAGATCATAGGGAAAAGAAGTCCAAAAGGTATCCTAGGCCTGAGAGAGTCCATGAGACTTACGGCTATAGCAGCCACGAGGGGAAGGGTTGGGGCAGATCTTCCCCAGTGCTCTCTTCAGATCAGGAGTATTCGGACTGTGGACAGGCTGGGTCACCTGAGCCAAGTGAGAGCCCTCAGGACATGTACACAGACCCTTATGCCTCTGAGGAGCAGGAAGAACCAACAGTATTTCATCGGAAAGCCAGTAAAGGCCACAGCTTTCAGGAGAAGCTGCAGGGAGGCCGGGAAAGGAACCCCGCTGAGTTCCATGACAAAGGGAACATGAGTCGAAGCAAAGAGCATAAGTCTCACAAGAAGCAGCGGTTTGATGGCAGAGAGGAGGACAGGAGCTCTGCCTTCAGCCCTGAAAGATTGCACAAAACCTCTTTGAAAGAGCAGCTCCAAGAGGCCCCCATGGCAGGGGGCAGCAAGGAGAAGCAGAGGACGTCGGATGGCATCAAGAAGGAGAAGAACCGAGAGAGTGGTGCTTCCAGAAAGGAGAAGCTGCACGTGGTGCCGCACACGGGGGAGGCTTTGGACAACCACGTTAAGAAGCAGAAACATCGGGACTCTGAAAAAGGCAAATTGGAAAAGCCCAAGTTGAGCTTGGAGCCCTCGAACTCGGAGCGGGAGAAGCGGAAAGCTGAGAGTGACTCCTCAAACAGGGTTAAAGAGAAGGGGAGCTTAAAATCTGCAGAGGGGAAGCGCAAAGCCTCTGACACAGACAGAAAGTCTGTGGGCTTCTCCCCCAGCTTTGGGGAGGGGGAAGTGGAGGATGAGTTTGAACAACCAACGATGTCCTTTGAGTCGTACCTCAGCTATGACCAGCCCCAAAAGAAGAAGAAGAAAGTGGTCAAACCTTCTGGGCCAACTGGGGAGAAAGACCGAGGGCACAGCAAACAGAACGGATCCAAAGCCAGTACCAACAGCTCGAGCTCGAGTCGGAAGAGTCCAAGCCACAAGCGAACAAGTGAGAAAAAAGCAGAGAAGAAAGTACCAGAGTCTCCTAAACCAAAGAGGGTAAGGCTGTGAGGGCTTTGATGCATCTGAAAGTGAACAAAGGAGGTGGGAGCAGCTGCTCCTGATCCTCCAGGTGTTGCTGTGTGCTGTTGGAGTGGGGCTCTGCTGGAAAAGCGGGTGAAGAGGGCAAGGAGAAAAGCAATAGGCAAAATGCATTTATACAAAAACAGGGGGAGTAGAAGAGAACAAGGATGCTGGGGAGGGACTCTTACTAGGGACTGTAGTGACAGGACAAGGGGTAACAGGTTAAAACTTAAACAGGGGAAGTTTAGATTGAATATAAGGAAGAAGTTGTTTCCTGTAAGGGTGGTGAGGCACTGGAATGGGTTGCCCAGGGAAGCTGTGAATGCTCCATCCCTGGCAGTGTTCAAGGCCAGGTTGGACAGAGCCTTGGGTGACCTGGTTTAGTGTGAGGTGTCCCTGCCCATGGCAGGGGGGTGGAGCTGGATGATCTTAAGGTCCTTTTCAACCCTAACTATTCTGTGATAACTTCAGCTAAATACTTTGCCATTCATTCTAGTAAGTGCCTCAGGTTAGAGGCCTAGGTTTCCTTCAGCTCATGAGGTTCCTCTCTCTACCACCACTGCAGAGTCTTTTTGCAGGAGGTGGGAAGGAGAAGAGACAGAACAGGTAAATGAGTGTTTGAGATCAAGGAACTGTTTCTGCCAGCCTTCTCTTTTGTGTTTTCTCTAATTCTTTGCACTGTGAATCTCACTTGGGTTCTTGCCAGAGGCCTTCAGCACTGAGCTGAGTAGGTTAAAGATATTCATGGAGGGAGTTGAGTGATTCAGGTCCCAGGTTTTGGCTGCTTTGCCTAGATGGAGCCAAAGTGATGTGGCAGAAGTGCAGCCCCCCTGAGGCTGTTTCCTGATGCAAGCAGTGTTGAGTGGCTTATACAAAACACAACCCAAATGCAGCTCAGTTCTATCTGTACACCAGGAGGATATAATATTTTCCTGCGCTTTTGGCTTACTTGCATGTACCTCGTCTCCTTACAGATACTTTTAGATGTGGTACCAACGTTACCAGAGATCCCACTGCCTCCAATCCAGGCCAATTACCGCCCTCTTCCTTCAATGGAGTCCATTACCTGCTCCCAGACAAAAAGGAAAGGTATGTTGGCCAGGAAAGGAGGTTTGAGACAGGCTGCAGCCATCAGTCGTGGGAGGGAGTGGGAGCAGCTGCTACCTGGCTTCAAGTCTTCCTATTGGGGTCTGGTGTCTTGCCTCTGGTGCCCAGAGCTTTCCAAAGGTGGTTGTTTTCCCATGTGCTCTTCCATTGGGAAGATCCTTTGCTGGTCCTTCTTGTGGCTTCAGCTTTGGGGTTGCCTTTGCTGAAACCAGTTTGCAGGTCTCTTGGAGAAGCCTTAGCCCTTTAGGTTGCTTCTGGGTGACTCCCAGTTTGTGTCTGCTGTGCCATTCATAAGGGTGAGCTCTTCTTTTCCCTGTTCCCTTCTTACTCCAAGTCTTTCCCTTTGCAGCAGTGTCCTCGCCAGTTGAAGAGAGCGAAGCAGGTTTCACAGGGCGCCGGTTGAATTCAAAGATGCAAGTGTATTCAGGCTCAAAAACTGCCTACCTCCCCAAGATGATGTCTCTGTATCAGCAGTGCATCAGAGTCCTTAGTAACAACATTGACTGTGAGTACCTTTCCTCATCTGTGTGGCTCACGCTGCCCTGCAGGTCCACTGAAGCCTTGGTGACTTGTCTGTACATACCCCAGCAGTTGATGTGAAGTCCTCCCTGTCACAAGGCATCCTAACTGCTGTGGGATAGAGCTCTCTGAAAGCTCAGGTGCTGCAGGAAGCAGCAGTCCATGTGCTTGGGGGAGTGCTGAAGCACTGGAAGTAGTGGCCAGCAGAGCCATTTGGAGTTCCTGGTGCCTGATGACTTGTTAGTGCTATTGCACTCATGGTTCCTTTCTCCTTCCCCTCGTACTGCTTAGTTCTGTGCAGCACTGCAGTTTCCTCCCCTGCATTTCAAGGTGTCAAACCCTTTCCTCAGCAAGGAAGGAGCAGGGTAAATACTTTGTGCATCTTGCTTCTCTCTAGCAATCTATGAAGTGGGTGGTGTCCCTTTCTCGGTGCTGGAGCCAGTATTGGAGAGATGCACCCCAGAGCAGCTGTACCGCATTGAGGAATGTAACCACGTGAGTGCCTTGCCCTGGGGAGGTGATGGTGACAGGCGGGAGTGATTCTGTCCTCATCTGCAATAGCAGAACAGTAAAGAACAATGCTCTGTTCAACAAGAGGTGGCTTTTGCTGTCCTAACCTCCTGGATTTGCCATCTGCCCATCTCTTGCTGCAAGCAGGCTCCTCTGTGGCATTCCGGTGGCTTGGCACTATCTGATGCTGAGGGAGAGGGGAGTGAAGGTGTCGGGAGGGATCCCAGCTCACGTGTGGGTTTGCTTCAGGTCCTCATCGAGGATACGGATCAGCTGTGGCACAATCACTGCCTGCGAGACTTCAAGAACGAGAAGCCAGAGGAGTTTGAGTCCTGGCGGGAGATGTACCTGCGGCTGCACGACGCGCGGGAGCAGCGGCTGCTCATGTTGGCGCGGAACATCGGCTCCGCTCATGCCAACAAACCCAAAGGTAAAGAAGGGCTGAAGGAGCAGAGAGGGGGCTGGGAAAGCTGCCCAGGTGATGTGGGGAAGGTCTTTGGGACTGACTGTTGTCCAATAGAGGAGTTGCTTGGCTCTCTGGTCTTATGTGGTGGCCTTTGCTCCATGGTGTAGCAGACCCTCGATTCCATCCATCGAGGTGGTGATGCAGACCAGAGAATGCTCTACAGCAAGAATGTGCAGAGCTGCAGAGGCATCTCCTTAGGTGGCTTCTCTGTGCTGGGGCTGAAGAAAACCATGGTGGGAGAAAGCATTCCTGCTCTTTGATCATTGTGAGAACTGCTGACATGATCAGTGTGATTTCTCACAGCCTGTGTTGTCACAGCAAGAGGTTCAGACCTTAGGGAGGAGGCTATTGCCAGAGCTTTGGAGTGGATGGACTGGGGAGAGCAGGTTGGAGTTTGCTGTGGTAAGACAGTAAGTTGGATCTGAGCAGTGTTTCCCTCTGGCCTCCTACAGGTAGAGTGGCCAAAATGGCATTTGTGAACTCTGCAGCAAAGCCCCCTCGGGATGTACGAAGGAGACAAGAGAAGTTTGGCACTGGAGGACCTCTGCTGCCGGAGAAGACCAAGTGAGTGTTGCTCAGGAGCACTTGCTGCTCAGGGCCTCTTTTGCTGGCATCTCCTGCCAGCTCCCCCTCTGCAGCTCTGCATCCTGGCAGGGAAGGATTCTGTGTGTTTGGGAGGTCCTTGTAACTTGTAATAGCCTCTTTCTTGCTGGGAACTGTGGAGATCCTGGTCACTGCTGGTTCCATGTGTTATCATGGCTTGTGTCTGAAGAATTGCATCGAACCACAGTGAGTCCTTCTCTGAAATGCCTGCCCCATCTCTGTTCCAGAATAAAACCAGTCCTGTACACATCTAGCAAAAGCCACACTCGTGTGAGTGAGGAGCAGTCCTATGATGGGCCCAGCACCAGCAGTGCCCATTCTGTCCCATCTTCAGGTAGCACCTTCTCGTCCTACGACCCCAAGAAACCCCCAGTGAAGAGTAAGTACAAACTGCACAACATCCCTGTGGTCTCCTAGATCTCTTCCTTTACAAACACACAAATCTATTGCTTCTGCTGTAGGGAAATCCAGGCTATGTGGGAGGGTTGGTGGTGGTGGCCTCTCCCCTCCCTAAGGAGAGGGTGATAAAGTCTGTTCAAACTTCTTGCACAGGGGAACATCTCATTCACCTTCCTGCTCAGTGCTGGCTGCATCAGCCTGCCCCGATGGTACTGGTACAGCAGAAACCCTGCCTTGTCCCTCCTGCTGTCCCTCTGTGTCTGTCCAGCTGTTTGGAACACTGACACTGTAGTGCAGCTCCCTTTGGGAAGGAAGCAGGGAGAGTTGAACTGGAATTCTGTCTTCTGGCCATGCAGAAAGCAGCTTTGAACTGCTCTCTGCTCTCCCAGACTGTGAATGCTGTTTTCATGAGGGGTTTTCTTGTTTGATTTGGGTTTTTTTTTCTTCCTCTGTTGCAGAAATTGCACCCATGATGGCAAAGACTATCAAAGCTTTCAAAAACAGGTTCTCTCGGAGATAAGCTTGCAGTGCAGATCTGGGACTTGCCCTCTGGTGGGGAGTGGCACTGAAGGGGGAGAAGGTACTCACAGCCCTTTTCCTTGAACTCTTTGGAGGCTGCAGCTGCTGGGAGAAGCTTTGATCTGCACAAGACAACAGCACAGTATTTTATCTTCTATTCTGGTCCCTTTCTCAGTGTCAAGCCCCCTCTTTTCCACCTGCCCTTAACACCCCGTTTCTGGCTTTGTCGTCCGTCAAAAGGAGGGCGTACAAAACCTCCCAACACAAGAAAATGTGAAGTCTTGGCACCTGCTGAGAGTGGAAGATCAGAGACTATTTACTATTTAACCTCTTCATAAATTATACAATGGTTTTAATTAATATTTTGCCCCCTCTCCCACTGCTATTTATGTTGCTCCCAGTAGTCTTCCCCCCCTGATGCAGTGCGAGGGTCAGCCTCTCTGTGGCTCCATCTGGCTGAGTGGACACTGGGTGTCCTTCCTTGTGATCTGGTACCTCCTGGGCTCCCTGGGACAGGCAGCACCCATCTGCTCACTGCTCTTGGCAAGTGTGTCAAGTCCCGAGGCTTTGCTCTCTGCTTGTGTCTCTTAATCTTTGCTCTTGACCTTCTCTCTGCTGTTACTGTAGATCTTGTCTGGATGCTTACATTGTTGTGCAGGGATGCCAAGAGCCACTGGGGACTTTTTCTCTGCTGCTGCTGCTGTTGTCTTCTGCTGGCTACTGGGAATAAAACTACAAAGGGCTTGGGGAGAAATTTTCCTGCGCACCAAGTCAGATTTTAACATCTTTTTCCTTTTATTTCCTTTTAATTGAGAAGGTTACAGGGGACTTGGCCTCTGGAATTGGAAGCAATTTTTAAAGATCAATGAAGGCATCAATTTGCCTCTTTTAGTAGGAAGAAGGAATATTTTTATCGTGTTCCCTGTGTGCTATTGGGAAGGATTTACTTCCATTTTAAATCTTGGCTATACCCCGTATGTCTGCCTCCACTTTGGAAAAAGCAAGGATTTTAGTCTTGGAACCTAAACCCACTTGCATAGTGTTGGAAGGAAGTGAATAACAGAACGTGGTTTGTGTTTAATGTGTGTATGGGTGGTAGCAGGAGTTGAGGAATGGGTTGTACTGGTGTCTGAGGGGCTGGAGCTCTGTGGGCCATCGAGCCTGATTGTGGTGAATGCTTCCACTTGTGGGTTACAAAAATGACCTCACCAGGGGTGGTGTGAGCAGGGGATGGAGCTGGGCAGACCCAGGTTGTGCAGGGGCAGGCGGCAGCACTGTCAGGGCTCAGAGATACAACTGGGTCAGAAAGGGGAGAGGTTCTCCTGGTCCAAGCCATATTTGCTGCCTTGGGATTGTGCTGTCGAGGTGGAAAACGTGTCGATGGTGGATGCTGTTGCTGCTGGCTTTGTGTGGCTGCCAACCACTGAACCAGCGGAGTTGTCTGTGCACTGACTGGGGCACCTTGCTGTGCTCCGCATAGGGCTCTAGAAAAATCCCTGTATGCTTCTGGTTTCTGTTGGATCCGTCTTTGTTTTCCTCCTTTTTTGTCTTTCTTTAAACCCATTCTGCACACTTGCCTCTTTATTTGGGCTTTTCCTTATTTTGAAGGTCTTGGAGAAATGTTCTCAGACTCTCACGTGCTGTAAGTTGGTTACAGTCCCAGATGCTTTAACGTTCCCGTGCAGCATTTCAGTGTGTGTTGTGCTGTAAAACAATGGCTCCTTACTCTTGCATTTTTGCTGTATTTAATTTTGCTGTATTTTTAATTAGATAACAATATATTATCTTCTGCTGACTGTTGTGCTACCGTTTATTTCTCCTCTGTACTTTGGGGTAGGGGCAGAGGGGGAGGGAAGTGGAGTCTGGTATCGGGGCCAGGCCCTAAGGGAGCCTTAAGCAGAGGAGCTGGGCATTGCTAAACTGCCCCTTGATGAACACTACAGGAGCCACTCGGATGTGATACTGCCCAAAGCATTGCTGGTACAGGGTGATGCCCCTTCCCTCTCAGCACAGCCTCTTTGCCCTGGGCTTTGCTGCCTGTGTCTGTGTTGCAGCTTGGCTGGATGGCAGGGAGGGGGCCAGAATTGAGGTCGGTGCCCGGGGTGTTACTTGTGCAATTCCCATGTGCTCCACACACATACGAAGGACCGGAGCAGAGCTGCCTCTTCCCCCTTCGGTACGCCGCGGGCAGGAGCGGGGGTGACTTTGACTTGCATTTGTATTTTGGTCCCTAACTGTGTACATACACTTTTCTATGTTCCTTTTTTTTGTGGTAACTAAGATGAATATTTTAATTAGATAAGTTATATGAAAAGCCGAAAATCATGTCTCAATAAAAGCCAAACACTGGACTCTGCCTGCTTGTTCTCTTCTGTCTCTGAGCGCTGTTAAGTACCGGTGGCCGCGGGAGGGTGCTGCTTCAGTTCCCCCAGAGGCGGCTTCGCTGCGGGTCCGGCCGCGCCGCTTCCTGTAACCCGGTTCCCCGGGACCGAGCACCTCCAGGCCGCCAGGGGGCGCTGTGCGGCGCTGAGCGCAGGCGCGGTGCGCTCGGTGCGGTGATGGCGCACGGGCCCGGCCGCTGCCGGTGCTGCGGGGAGGAGGCGGCGGGGGGCGGCGGGGAGCGCGGCGCGGCCTGGGGGCTCTACCTGCGCATCGACCGGCAGCGGCTGCAGTGCCTCAACGAGCGCCGCGAGGGCAGCGGAGCCCTCGTCTTCCGGGCTTGGGAGGAGCGCTGCGACCGAGCCAAGGTGGGGCTGCACCGGGGAGGGAGAGAGCGGCCCTGGGGTCCGGTCTTGCCCCCGTGTACCCGGGCGGGCCGGGCCTGACCCGCTCCTCTCTCCTTGCAGTTCGTGGAGAGCGACGATGACGAGGAGCTGCTCTTCAACGTCCCGTAAGTGCCCTCGCCGCAGTGCCCGTCCCTCGGCCGGCAGCGTTGAAAGCGGGGCCGATCCGAAGGGAGCAGAGATGGAACGGGGGCTTCCGCCTCTCCCGGCAGGTTCACGGGCACGGTGAAATTGAAGGGAGTGATTGTGATGGGAGAAGACGACGGGAGCCACCCAGCAGAGATGAGGCTGTGAGTGAAACCAGCCTGAGCTTTGCTTAGCCTGAACTGAGCTGATCGCCTCGTAGCTAATGAGAGCAGTGAGGGTGTGCAGTGTGGGGGGACCAGGCTGTGCTGAGCCCCGGGGCCTGGCTCCTGAAGGGACAAAAATCCTTCTTAATACTGTCCCTTTCTCAATAGAAATGAGAGTATTGAGTGCTCTGCAGCTCTTGCTTGCGGGGGGGAGGGTGGAAATGTGCCTTTATCAAGCCAACATTGTCCTCTGCTCCACAAACATGGATGTGAAGCACTGGCATGGATCACTTTATGCATGGAAATTCCTGAGTGCCAACACTGAATCTGGCTGTAGCTGTAATTGCAGCTTTCTGCTGGGACAGTTCTCCTGGTTTCCTTTGGTCTCCATGTGTCTTGGTTGCTCTGTGTACCCCAGCAGGCTGAGACCTGCATCTCCCCAGCTTTTTTCCTCGCTCTTCCCTGTTGTTTCTTCAGGGTGTTGGGTATTCTGGAATGATGCTTTGTGGTGGCGTTGGTATTTTCCCCTGTAGAAGACAAAGCAAATCCAGTTTCTTATTACTGAGAAGAATCCAGGTAGTGCTAATGGATGGGGAGGAAGGCAGTTGGCTGACCTGTATGTTAATAACTCCCTGGGTTTCCTCCCTCTCTTCCCAGCTTCAGGAACATTCCTCACATGTCCTTTGATGACGCAGCCAGGGAACCAGAGCAAACATTCAGCCTGAACCGGGACCCGGTGGGCGAGCTGGAGTATCCCACCAAGTACGACATTGGGCTGGGGTGGGGGGGTCTGTCTGGCCCGTGAGTGCACCACCAGGCTTTAGGGATGTGTGAGATGGGGGCAGATCCTTCCCTTGCATCCCAGCGCTGCTCACAGTGGAGTTTGCCATCCTGTCCTTGTCAAGTGAGACACAGCAGCAGTGTGCCTGTGCTGCCAGGACTCCTCGGGATGTGGAATCATCCCAGTGTTGTATCCCTGCTCCTGAGCTCTGTGCCAGCTCCTCGCTGCCCCATTCCCTGCCGCGTGAAGGGAGCTGTTCCTGCACCATGGGGTCCGTGCTCCCAGGCCTGAGGTGCACTCGGTGACTTGGCGCCACAGTGCAGGGAGGTGCCGGCACTGCAGGATCCTGCCCACGCAGCTCCAGTTTCAGTGTTTTCTTTCAGAATTGCCCGTTTCTCCAATGTTCACCACCTCTCCATCCATTTCCCGAAGAACTTCGGAGCAGAGACAACGAAGATCTTTTACATAGGCCTGAAAGGAGAGTGGATGGAGGTGAGCAAGAGCAGAGGGTGAACAACACTGCAAAGAGTGTAAAACCAGCTTTAAATTACAGCTGAAGCTGGGCTGTAGGGGTGAGGAAGAAGTGGGGGGGCTGTGATGGACGGTGCATGGCAGGACCCAGCTCAGCGCTCACCACACGGGTGTTTTAGAAAGGACTTCAATTCTGCCCTCTAACGGTTAACGTTAACGCAGGCTCATCGCCACGAAGTCACCATCTGCAACTACGAAGCCTCAGCAAACCCCGCGGATCACCAGCTGGAGCAATTCACCCCACAGACTCACTTCATCTCCTGACGGCTGGGGCGGAACCACCCTCCTGCATCCCCGCAGTGTGGGATCAGCTCCGTGCCTGGGGCCGAGGGTGCGTGGTGCCGGTGCAGGCGGAGGCTGCAGCTCCGGGCCGTTCGCTCCGCCTTGGTTCCGGTGCTTCTCTGACTGAATAAACCGTGCGCGGAGCCGGGTCACAGCCTGTGTGTGTGAGGGGGGGGGGCAGCGGAAGGCACGGGACGTGCGGCCGTGCTGAGGGCGGGGTGAAGAGGAACCGCTCCCCGGTGCACGGAGCTACCTCAGGGCGCCTCCGCCATCATGGCCGCCCCCGGCGGGCCGGCCGGTGCGTCACTTCCGCCGCGACCCGGCTGGGCGGAAGTTCCGGTGGGAGCGCGTCGGGGGAGCCGGGAGGAGAGCGCGCGCCGGGCCCGCGGGAGAGGTGCGGGGGGGTGTGGGGGGGCAGAGCGGGAGGTACCACTGGGGGGGGGGGATCAGCGGGGGTGCTGCCGCGGGGGCTCCGCGTCCCGTCCCCCCCCGCGCTGTGGTTCCGGTTCCAGCCGGTCCCGGGTGGGTCCCGGCGCCCCCCGGCCTCGTGGTGGGCGCGGCGGGGGAGCGGTGCCGGTACCGGGGCCGCGCTCGCAGGCGGGGGTCGGAGCGAGCCCTGCCGGCCCTAAGGGGATCACCCCCAAACCCCGGCTTCCTCCTCGCGGGGGAGGCCGAGCCCCGGCCCGCTTCAGG